AAGGCTATGGTTAGATTCACTTTTGCTGGAGGTGGTACTTATGTGGCCCAAATATTACTTGCTATGTGTCAGCCCAAGCCTGGATATTGCTGATTATGAACAAGGATTGCTTCAGTATCCGAGATATCTCAGCGAACATCCCCACTTCTGACCTTATGACAGAAGGTCACTGATAAAGCAGTTGAAGATGTTTGGGCCTACTACAGTATATTCTATGGAATTCTTACAGCAAAATCTAACAACTATCACACAGACTAGTGGTTCAAGAAGATGTGTCACCACCACCTTCTCAAGAGTAGCTAGAAATGAGCAGTAATGCCAGAACTGCCAGCAATGCCCACATCCTGAAGAATGCTCACAGGAAATCTGGAAATGTTAACGTTGATTTACCAAGCTTACCATCATCCATCTCACCTCCATTTCTAGCATTTATTCAATGAAGCAGACTACACTATAAAAATAGGAACATAGAAAATAGGTGCAGGAGTAGGCCATTTAGCCCTTCAAGCCAGTCAGACACTCGTTTCAAATGACTAAATATGAGGAGAGTTTGGAAGAATAATGCACCCAGTAGTCATTGAACAAAATCAAAACTTCACAACACAAAGCTATTCAAAGTTCCCTCAGGAGATTTAGACAAATAAGGCACAATCTTCAATAAGTAAATGTTGGTGTACGAAGGAAACACATTAGTGCCGCATACACCCAGTAAAAGAAATTAATGCCAGGCAGCAACTAATGAGATGAGCCTGAAGCTGCAATTACTTTCATTCAGCAAAGCCTAATGCTTCAGTGATGAATACAAACAGGCAAACACAGTGCGCTAATGGAAGTCATAACCTGTCACTAATGTACTGATCTGTTGAGAATTGCTGCCATGTCCATTCCTGATTTGACTCAAGTATGACGTGCACAAAAACAAACAGAACCTCCTACACTCCTTAAAAGGGGCCCTGTTCCCCCGTAAAGAGTTCTGGAACATAAGAATTTTTAGTAAAGGCTATAGGCACATTTCTTTCTCATTGACTAAACTAACTTAGCCACCTTCTCACTAGATCAGTAAATTTGTTCTTCAAAAAAACATACCTAAATATTTACTGCATCCATATATACCAGCTACTTCAATATTTTTCGCAGGTAAGTTTGATCCCCAAATCTACTCCTCTTTAGGCTCCTAAGTTGTTCTCTTTGGTCCTCAAATTTAATAGCTAACAGGATGACGCCCTTCAACAATGTTACCCATTGACTGGTCTAAGCTTATGAGAAGAAGGTCAAGAACAATGAACAAAAGAGAAGTACGGCACAGGAATAGGCCCTTCGCCCTCCAAGCCTGTGCTGATCATCACACACTGACTAAACTAAAAAGCAAACCTTCTGCCCTTAGTCAGTCCATATCCCTCCATATCCCTATTCACGTAACCATCCAGACGCCTCTAAAATGTCACCAACATGCCTGCTTCCACGTTAAACTTTTGCCCTCTCACCTTGAGCCTGTGCTCCCTTGTAATTAAAACTTCAACGCAGAGAAAAAGCCTCTGACTATCCACCCTATCTATGGCTCTCATAATTTTGTAGACCTCTATCAGGTCTCCTCTCAGCTGCCATCTTTCCTTTGGACACAAGTGCTAGGACCCATGGAATTAAATGCCAGCTGGAGACACTGCCTCCAGGAGGTTCAGTGATGAGTAATTTTCACAGATTTTCTGTGTTTTAAAATAATTTTATTTAGTTTTCACTCATTTCCTTCCTGCTGAGTATTGACAGTGTTTCAATCTGCACAGTTTCCTGGGAATATATTTTAAAGTTCTGCTCTTTGCAGCTCTTCATGCAGGGTCGAACCACACCGAAAATGTTTTCTTCACTCAGCTCTTCTTCAAGGCACCAAATATCCCAATGGTTCACATTCACTATGTCATGTAGCACAAACAGAAGGTCCTAGGTTTGGTTCCTGGACTTTGCTAATGAAGTTATCACAGCCAGAGCAGCTCTGAAGTGCTACAAATGGACTCTGTGCCCAGGGTTAGAAGCACATGAGGAATCAGTCCAGAATATCCAATCCTGACCAACTATCCAGGGATTTCTTCTTGACAGTGGGTGCCCTGACGTTTATGCTCAAATCCTCTGCAACACTCACTGCCTAGGCTGCCTGTACAAAGAAAGCCACTATCCTGCAAGCTTACTTTTTGAGGGGGGAGGGGTGTACCAGTAAAGATAATATCTTCACCAAAGGAGGACCCTTCCAAATGACTGAAAGAGGGTCTTTTCATTGCCTTAATGTGGCTTAAATTTCAGCTCAAATCCCAGACGTGATGATCCAGAGTGGCTTTAAGTCCTGCAAAAGGCAACTTTCTGCCCACTTCTAAGCAAAGTTCCTGAGTTCAAACAATATCAAAAGAACAGTGAGATGAAAGGAGACCTATAAGTTGTGAGATGGCAAGGGTCAACAAGGGCACAGAGGAGGAGAAAGATTAGCTTACCTATGACTTTTCAGAGCATGTGGCCATTGGAAACAGTGAAATGCAATTTTAGCAAGTGACAAGGTCACTCAGTACAGCGCATAACTCTGCCATACAATTACAGAGCTTTTCCTTGAGGTTGTTCTCTGCCTGAATGATGGTTTGTAATTACAATGCTGAAAAGTAAACAAATATTTTTATTCACCGCTTCCATTTCATCTGAGGAGCTTCAGGGCAATCCACGTGAAACAACCTGCTCTGAAAAATCTGCTCACATTTTGATACCTGTGACAAATCCCACCAGATTCTGAGACAATCCATAATACCTAGAAGAGTCAACAACATTCTAAATAAAGTAACACACGCCACTGTAATGGGCCTTATTTTCAACATTTGAGTAGTTTAAAAAGTCCAAGGATCCAAGTCTTCATCAAAATCCAATCAGTTTTTCCTTGGGCCATAGTCTGTTTACTAAGATTTGTTGAAATCCACCCATTACCTTTCAAGATTTATTCATTCCAGAAAAACAGACTAACACAGAGGGTTGAAAACATTATCTCATCCATTATCAGTAGAGAAGGTACCTAAACAATTACATTCAAATGCAGTACTGATGGAACAAAATTCTAAGGCATTATTTCAATGAACAGGAGCTTTCCCCAGTGTCCTTGCCAATACTGATCCCTTGACGAACATGACCAAAACTGATAATCTGACCATTTTTAAAATCACATTGTTGTTTGTGGGACCTTGCTTTGTACAAATTGGGTGCTGCTTTTCTGACATTACGACAGTGATAACATTTCAATAAGGTCGCAAAGCATTTTGGGATGTTCTGAGGTAGTGGAAGGTTATAAATAAATCAAAGGCTTTTCTTTCCTTCCTTCAACAAGTCTGGCAGGCAGACATTAATCATTTTCAGTCTCCAGTGGTAATCGTCTTGGACTCAGTCAAATCAGCTTCTACTTTAAGCAGTTATGCATCTCACATTTCCAGTAAATGGATAAAGAACAAACTAGTGTACCTCCTGGACCATTCCAGACCTCAGAATGTCCCCCAAGTGCTCTATAACCAATGAGGTGCAATTTGATATGGTATCACTTGTGTAATTTATGAAATAGAACACAGGCCAATTTATAAACAGCAAAGTCGAAAAAACCATAATTAGATGAATGACCAGATAATCTGTTTTTAGGTGTTGGATAATTATTGGTCAGGACTCTGGAGAGAATCTAAGAAGATTTGTTTGTTGCTGTTAGTGGGAATTTGCTGTGCATAAATCAGCTGCTACATTTCCAACATTACAAAATGAGAACATATCCTGAGATTCTGAAAGGTGCTTTTGAAATGCCAGACTTCATTCATTTGGTTGATATCTACCTCACGGGTTGTTCTGGTCATGGATGAGAATCAGAGACATTGTCATTGATACTTATTAGCTCTTTGGGGCTAACATTAAGTACAGTGGTAGTGTCCCTGCCTCTGAACTGAGGCTCACTGTGCTTAACGGAAGCTCAAGTCCCTGGATTTTGGGCAGCACGGTGGTTCAGTGGTTAGCACTTCTGCCTCACAGTGTTTGGGACCCAGGTTCGATTCCACCCTCGGGCAACTGTCTGTGTGGAGTTTGCACATTCTCCCTATGTTTGCTTGGGTTTCCTCCAGGGGCTCTGGTTTCCTCCCACAGTCCAAAGATGTGCAGGTTAGGTGGATTGGCCATGCTAAATTGCCCGTAGTGTTCAGGGATGTGTAGATTAGGGGGATGGGTCTGGGTGGGATGCTCTGAGGGTCAGTGTGGACTTGTTGGGCTGAAGGGCCTGTTTCCACACTGTAGGCACTTTATGAGATTGGATTCTATGAGGAGTCCCATCTGCTTCAGACTTGTATAATAACATTTCTGAACAGGTTGATTAGAAAATATCTGTGGTGAAGCCAGTATCTAAGCTCTTTAACATCTATCAAACCACTTTTCCAATAATAGATTGCTTCTAGAACCTCTCAACACAGAAAATGAGGCTATTCAGCCTATCGAGCTGATGTTGGCTCTGTGAATTATTCAATTAGCTCCATTCCTCTCCTCTTTTCTAATACCCCTGCATATGATTCCTCTGCAGTCCAATTCTCCTCTGGAGGTGACCATTTTATCTGCTTCCACCACAGTTTTAGGCATTACATTTCAGACTATCACACATTGCTTTCTAAGAAAATCTCATATTTCCGATTCTCTTAAATCTTTGTCCATTGCGTCCACTTGCCCAACCACTAGTTGAAATCTTCATCCTATCCACCTTATCAAAACCCTACACAATGTTGAATAGCCCTACTAAAATCACCCATAATCTTCTCTACTTTAAGGAGAGTAATTCAAGTTTCTCTAGTTCCTCCACCAAAACAGAGTTCCTCATCCTGCTGACACTTTAATAAATCTCCTCTGTATCCTTTCCAAGGTTGCAACATCATTATATCTTTCAAGGTTGGCATTACAGTGGGTCATGGACAAGGAATTTATGAGCCTCTGCACTATGAGTAAAACAATCATGTACTCACGATATTCTTTATGGACCTCATCAATTTCTTCTTCTGACTGGTCCTTTGTGAATTTCATTATCTAATAAAAAGAACTGAAATGTTTTCCTTTGTTTCTCTAGAAAGGGTAGATTTAGAAACTCATAAAACATTGAACAAGACTTACATTTTCACTTGCTTTACTTTCAAGCTGAGCTTGGGTCTTCTCGTTCCTTTCAATTTCTCTAGCGATCTCAGAGGCTATTTGAAAAACACAATTAAAAGGATTTTAGGCATGAACGAACCCGAAATGATACAGGACATGAATGACAGGGGATGTGAAATCCTTGCATGTATATCCAACTGGAACCTGCCTTTCAGTCAAAGTCCAGATTATGATGTCCTAAGTGCAACTGGATCATGTGCTTATACAGGTTTATATAGAAACACTGGACAGAACCCTAGGACATCCAGGCATAAAATTTAGAAAGGGCAGGATGAGGCAAAAGTAGACATCACATGCAAGGTACAAAAGTAATTATGTGGCTCTTGACAAGGCACAAGACAAGAACTAATAGTCTTAGGTTATAGCTGTGGCCAAAGGTACTTCAGTCACATGCTGTAATTTTGCATTAGGAAGTCAGAGGCTTGGAAGATGCACGGTCAGCATTGTCGCTTGGATCATTCAGCATACTGGAATCAATGCACTTAAGGAAAAAAAAAGGACTCACTTACATCAGCTATGCCTTAATGTTGTCTATAATGCCTCTTGTCTTATTCATGATCATCACTTTAAAATGCTCCCATTACAATCAAAATTTGAGTCTGGTGCTAGGCAGCTCTAAATGCTCTTGATGCACAGCTGCAGAACAACATCTATAAATATTATCCAGAATATTTTGTATACTTCAGGATGGTGTCGAATAAAAACTCACTCACCATTATTGTTTAAGAAAACTCAGTAACAGGACTCTCCCTTGAAGGGCGGGAATAAGACTGGCACACAATCTCATTACCATCTTGGCCACCTTCACCTCATTAAGAACATCACGATTCTTGCCAGTCCAATAAAGGCAAGAAGGAAGAAGCAACTCTTGGGCTCCTCCTGGTGACACCGAGAGTCGCCCAGCATGTGACTATTTACTCCCATGCTGGGTCTGTAACTGGAGCGCTGCATTTAAAGGTGTGTGTCGATTGAATAAATCAGAAATCTCTATACTATATATTTGTATTGAAAACAAAATCCACATTCTTTTTGGAGGGTGCAAAACATTCTTCCCACAAACTCACTGAAACCAGAAAGACAATGTTTTACAATATAGACATATGTATATTGTTAGACTGGGCATGCGCTTAGTCCCAGAAATGTTATGTGTGCAACCTTTCCATGGACAGAATGTGTAATGCAATTTGCAGTATCTTCACTGCTTTCCACAACTTCAAACATCTGATTTACAAGTAATAACTGTAATATAACAGATGGAAATTTACATTTAATATTGAATTGTGCACTGCCAACCAATTTTCTCTACCTTCTCTTTCCGCGGGTAACCCATGTTGTGTGGTTGGTACAGGGGACATTCCAATCACATCTCACCTGCCAAGGATATGCACTTTCCAAGAGATTACCGGACAGAAACTTGCACGAACAAGAATCACCTTTGAACTCGGGCCACTTCAGGCTAATTTTATAGTCACTGCCGAAGCTAAGATGAACTCTATGTCTAGGGTCTACAGTGGGGGCAAATGAACATTATTCTATCGCTATTAAATATCATTGTTCAAGGCAGCTCTATTGAACAGAGAACGTTACTCAAAGACATGAAGGTGATTTATTGCTTGGAAGAATTAAGTTTTATTTTTCCATGGCAATAAAGGTCACAAAATGTCATTTGATTTAAATAATTACAGAGCAGGATTTATTGCTAACATCCCAGTGCTCATAAAGCATAATCCAGCTTGAAAAGCAATGATTCACAAGAGTTCGGAAGGAAATAGGAGAGGGGACAGAAAACCAATAACACATACAGCCTTTGATTTGACTCACATTTCGTAGGTTGGAAGGGACTAGTTAAAAGATTTTGAACTGAGTGACAGAATCAAATAAACTACATGTCAGCATTGTTTTTAATCAAACACAAATTAGCATTGTCAATTTACAATTTATTTTATTCACTCGTGGGACATGGAAGTTGCTGGCTAGGCCAGCATTTATTGCACATCCCTAATTGCCCTTGAGAAGGTGGTGGTGAGCTGCCTTTTTGAACTACTGTAGCCCATGTGTTGTAGGTAATAAAACAGAAAACAAGGCCTATCAAGAGCAATGAAATGAAAAGCTATGTAAAATATTCCAGGTGCAGACCCTTTGCTTGGGCCGACCTCCATCTCGGACTGATACCCACTCACTGGCTCACTGACGGAGTAACTCCTTCCTTTCAAAGAACTTATCTTTGTATTCAAATCCATCCAGGCCTCACTCTGTTTGGAAGCTAAACAATCTGCTAAATATGACCAAATTAATAAGCTTATATCAGATTAAAGTAATTTAGCTAAAATCTTGCAAATATTTTAAATTCCCTCTTCTTGTAAATGAAGATAAAGCACAACAAACAGATTAACTTTGACTAGAACTCAGCTGCTTAAGAATGTTCCCTCTAAGCTGTCCAGCTATGGGGCTGCAAGAAACAAGCTGTGCTCAAGAAACGTTACCTTTAAAATGCAGGTGTAAGCATGTGTGTGTGTAGTCACACGTCAGTCTTAAAGGGACTTCACAGTGCAAAATAGCTAGCCTTGCATGACAAACTGAGGAAACTTTGCTGCTCACTTCAAAAAAATTCTGATGAACAAAGCTATTGGAGTAACAGCGGTCAGTCATTGCTACATTAGAGGAAACATTCATAACTAGGACCAAACACTAACATCTGCTAAAAGGAAGAAACATAGAACAGGATGCCTGGATGAGCCCTGATTGTTTGCTATAGAGGGTCTTACGGTGCTGTGTTAGTGCCCTATGTCTGAATCAGAAAGCCTGGGTTTAGGTCTGACCTCCTCCAGAGATGTACCACAACATCTCTGCAACTGCTTGATTAGAAAAATATCTAGAACAGAACGGGTCAACCATTCCTTTGACAATTGTGTCACTTACAAATATTTTTAATGAACAAAAAGAAAGATCAGTATAAACTGTCCTTTTATGAAAAAAAAAACGGAAATCAAAGATCTCAGGAGATTGTATACCAACAAGAGTTTGTCATCTCAAACAGTTGTTGACAATCGCTGACACACAGTGACAGTACATGGAACAAAGAAACTAAAGTCGATTCTGTATACTTCTGGTTGAGCCATGAGCCACCAAAACATAGGTCTTTGGCTCTCAATAAGACCCCTCAATGGCTGTTTTTTTTTTAAAAAAGGCTTTCAAACAAAACCAGAAATTGCTGGAGAAACTCAGCAGGTCTGACAGCAGGTCTGAGTTGAGAAAGCAAATGTTTCGAGTCCAGTACAAACAGTTAGTGGACTCAAAACATTAACACTGTTTCTTTCTCCACAGATGCTTCCAGACCTGCTGAGCTTCTCCAGCACTCCATGTCTTTTGTTTCAGATTTCCAGCATCTGCAGTTCTTTGCTTTATATTGTTGTCTTAAGTTTCTCTTTGCGTTGCTTTCAGCTGTACACTGCTTGTGCAGATGTTAGCATCACTAGCTTGGCAGATGGCCCATATAAAGGCAGATTAAGAATAGTAAGGCTGAACATGTTGGTGACAATTTGATTCCAACTTTAAGGTCATGTGCTGTCCAGCCATTGCTCAAAAAATAATGAATGGCAGAATCATCCCTCATCCACAGGACCCTACCTGCAATCAGCAGTCTACCTTATAACTCACATTATAATAATACAGGCAGAGCATCAATGCTTAAAGCCAAAACATGACATTGCAAAGGTACAAAGAATTTTAATTATCCAATAGTCAACAACTGAAAAACACAAACAAGTGGGGAATTCAGTGTTGAAAAATAGATGCAATGCTTTCAGAAAAAGAGAACCGTTTTTGCACAGCAGGTGGTTGGGGTCTGGAGTGCACTGCCCGAGAGTATGGTGGGGGCAGATTCAATTGTGGATTTCCAAAGAGAATTGGAAATATTATCTGAAGAGAAAAATACTTGCAGGACATGCGAGTGGCACTAGGTAAGTTGCTCTTGCAACGGCTCAGCACGGACATGATGGACTGAAAGACCTCCTTCTGAATGGAACCATTCTGAATCAATGATTCAAAATCACTGTTCTCTGTAACCTATTTCTCATGAAATCCCCTTCACTCACTTGTGCTCATTTACGTACATTGGATCGATTTAGCTCAGTTGGTGGGACAGTTGATTTGTGAAGCAGTGTGATGCCGCGACAGCATGGGTTCAATTCCTCCACCAGCCACGGTATGGTGGTCCTCAGGTTAAATCACCACCAGTCGTATAGTCTGGTAGATGGCGATACAATACCAAAATACACAAGATCCTGGCCTGCAAACAACTGAATTTTACAATGTTTATCCTAATTCTCTTTGCCCTGTCTCGGCTCCGCAGCCTCCTTCAACCTCTCAAGATATCGGTAATCCTCCAAATTAGGCCTCTTGTGTATTTCCGATTTCCATCTTCTCACAATAAGTGGCTTTGGCTTCAGCCATCAAGGCCCTAAACTCTGAAATACACTCCCCATAAACACATCTACCTCGACCTCTCTTTCCTCCTTTAAGAGTTCACAAACTGTAGCCACATCCCTAAGTGGTGTTGGCTGTAAATAGACCCTTCCCTCTACTCCATATTCAAATGGAATCACGGTGTAAAGAATTTGGAAAGCATCATCCTAGAGCCAATCTCGTTCATCATGCTTTCGGTCCTTTGTCCTCACATGGCTCAGTGTCAAGTGTTCTTTGATAATTGTTCCTCTTTCACTGTATTAAAGGATACTGTATAAATGCAAGTTGTTGTTGTTGTTGTTTTGTGGATTGAATCTCCTCTCCATTCTTGCTATTCCAAGATAACAATCGGACAGCTGCAATGCATATACCACAGAACTATCCTTATTCAGTTCTAATGCTATCACCACTTTGCCACAGTTCAGTTACTAAAAATAGAAAGGAATAGTTTTTGGAAGGCTTTTTTTAAACCAAACTTCTGTACAAACCCATCTCCTTTATTGCCAAAAGTAAGCTCTGCAATGAACGAGAATTTGAGCAGAACAATGCAGGTTGATGCTCTAGTAGAGAC